GCTAGATTAAAAAATAAATCAAACGATTCGATGAATTCATTGAAGAAAAAATTAAACAATAAATTAAGCAAATCGACGGACTCCATAAAGAATAAATAAAATAATTCACTGGATTCTTCAAAGAATAAATGAAAGGAACATTGTGTGGTCTAAGCAAACAGGTTTACTGTTTGTTTTGGAAAATACTAGTGAGAGTTCAACAATATCAACAATATCAAAAGTTCAACAGAAAAATACTACCTGTTATGAAACGATAAACGGGACGCGTCGCATTGTGATAAATGACGAATAAATGAATCACGGGATAACCGCGAACAGAAACGATCGTTACGTGCTTTGTTATCAAAGGGATCAGGCCTGCGCGACATCTCGCGAAGAGATACGAACAAGTTCATACGACGTCTGTTTTTCCTCGGCGACGTGAAATTGATATCGGTATTATCCGACTGCGCCATCGAATTCGCCCGAGGCACTGCTTCCGTCTCGTAATGGGATTTTGATAGTAACTGGTCGAGGGGTATCAACCCTCATCATGGGAATAATTTCCTCGGCGTATCTGTATACCTTGTACGCGTTTCGGTATACCTTGAACACGTTAGAGCGCGATACGTTATCGTCGGCATCCGCATTATGTGCACCGTCAGCCGCCTTATCATCGTCTCCGTTCTTACAATTAGTGTTAAGACCGAGCGAGAATGCATTTTTCCCCCTCCAGTAATGGGGGGGAAATGAACCCATTTAGTTCTACCGTGTATATTAAGCAGACTGTTTTTACCGTCAGAATTTCCATTCGATTTTGTATCTCTCGATTTTTGAGAACCATGAATTATTATTATATATATAATATTATATATTATTATGTTATATATAATAATTATATATAATATATTATATTATTATTATTATTGCTAGATCTTTATGCGAAATAAAAATTGTCCTCATCGATTGTAAGAAACAGATACAAGATAGAAATTTATTTTCTTCAATAATTTTAGCACGTTAAAAACACTAATAATTTGTTCGCTGTTTTAAACTGCTCCTACTCGTTTTTATCACAAACGCATCAAATCCCCAGTCTATTTATAACACGCGCAGATATTTCAAGCGCAAGGAAACGTGCAATAATGACGTGTAATAGACGTGTAATAAACGTCTGATAATATTTTTATTTTATTTTTGCAACGAGTTACTCTTTTAGTCGACGATGAAAATTTAGCTTCAGTTCTAATTTTTCTAAAGTGACGCGTGGAAGTGAGAAATTGTATAAAGTTTTGCAGTCAAATTATTACCAAGTTGCTGTATCTTTTTATTATTTCATTTCGCAGTACCGTCGTCGAGAACAGAAAATTTGCCTCCATCCCTGTCTTTACTTAGATTCAATCTCCAATTATTGGTACTCTGCTGTGCAATTACCAACGTGGAATGTCGCGTAATCAATTTTGAAACGAAGACAATTTTACAAGTTAGTACATAATTAAAACCTCGTTAGGTCACGAAGACGTTGTTAGCAGGAAACTATACGAATGATCCAAGTTCTAAAGACACTTTCTGAAGTGCGAATTAATATAATATTTGGCGCGTGTGTCGGTATATTTTTTCTTCGAGAATATTGATCTCGCAGATTCCGCACGCGCGTCGATTGCGAAATGTAATTAATTCGCGACCACGAACGATATTCGCTTGCAGCTCTCGCGCCATGAAAAATTCTCAGAACAGTGGCAAGCCGAGATTGTCATCCGGATGAGGCATTGCACTCTCGCGTTACGGTATCCTCTTTCGCGCAAATTACAACCCTAATGTTTCGACAAGAATATCGATATGAGTGTATGCACTCTATGTATAGCCGGCGCGCAAGAATGTCGCGCACACATTCGAATGCGTGGCGTAACGTAACGAATGCTACGTTGGATCAACTTCCAGCAGACGGGTGCGAAGCACAATGTGCTCCATGACGCCTATATTGCCGTCATAAATCTAGCAAGGCGGTTGAACATTAACCAGGCGACCGCCGTCTATACTTCCGACATCGGTCTACCTCCGTGTTCGATAAAATAGCTGTCTGTACGGCCCGTCGTTATTATTTACACCGATTTAATGAACCGTAACGGAGTTACGAGCCGTCCGCGTGAATTCGTCCGTTTGTCTGAAAAAGAGGCGTCGCCCGCTACCGCGAAACAATTCGCCCAACAATGCGCCGTAAAACTCTTTACAGCTTCTCGGTAATCTTCACCGGTATCTGTCGATCCTTTTCCTTCCGGGACCCATCAATTTCTGCGTTAGTTTCGGTGTACTCGCCGGATTGTGACGATTCGTACGATTCGATAGATGAGAGGCGACGAGTGCGCGGTTTTTACGCAGATTATTTAACTTAATTTAATTTAATTTGACTTAAATTATTTTAATTCAATTTAATTTAATTTATTTTTTAATTTAGTTAAATTTAATCTATTTTTATTTAGTTCAATTTAATCTATTTTAATTTAGCTCAATTTAATTTATTTTAATTTAATTTATTTTAATTTAGTTCAATTTTCTTTATCTTAATTTAATTGAAGGGAAAATAATTTATTCATTACAAGTGTAACTATACAATTGTAATTTATATACCACGGGCTCCTTACGATGATGAGTTCTGTGTCAATCACATATATACACTGATTATTTACCAGTATTCAAAATTCATATTTATTGTAATACATTCGAACAAATTTTCGTATGATATTTTTATAATGCAAAAGGGTGAAAATTCCATCCAATATGATCAATTTAAAATTGCTAGTTTCATTAACAATAGACCGCGGACTTTTATTCAGAATAAAAATTGTCTACACCAATTGCAAGATAGAGAAGATGCATCGATATTTATTTTTCTCTTAATAATTATAAAGAATTAAACGTGATCCAACAATGTGTCTAAATTCTTCAAATATTTTCATTCTTCTGCATTTGACCTACCAATTCTCATGACAAATACATCAAATCTAATTTTTCAGTTCGAATTTCCTCGATGAAACTACTTTGACTTCGTGGAGACTTTTAGGCCGATTTTCTGCACTCGACGTGTTCACAAAAATTGTATCATTATTGTGCTACGTTCACCACGAGAAATTTTCTGGCTGTTGCAAGAAACCTATACCTTCCTCAGACTTCTCTAAAAGTATTCATGACCACGTGAATTCGCATAAAGTACCTCGGTCTAGTTAACAAAAGGACTATAGTGCGAGAAATTCTGATGCATATTATTGCAAGAAAGAAAAAGTCTCAAAGTGCGACCAATCTTTCTAACAAAATTCTGTTACGGCAACCATAATAGATATCGATCGATCAGTACAAAATACAAAAAAACGATCGCGTGGTTATTCCGTGGTCCTAGATTTTCATGCTTCTCGATCGGTTCCGATACCGTTCCGGGACAGACGGGGTGTATACATTAAATTAGCAAACGCTTCGATCGATCCGCGAGATGAAACGATACCGGCGCGGTTGCGTTTGATAGAAATTTATTCGTCGCCGTCGTCACGGGCCATTTCTCTTAGCTTTTTTTCAGGGGCGCAATCACGCGAATGGTCATAGAGCAAATTTCCGGTTATAAATCTGGACGGACGCATGGACGGGATGGAAGAGTGGAAAATTGGATGACGATGTGGTCAGTTCACAGGTGGATTCCGCTCCCAGCCGGTCGCCGACGGCAAATAAAGCGCGTTTCGGAACATTTGGCAACGGCGGCGTTGCCGTAAAAATTTGTTGGGAAGCATATGTTTCGCGAACGGGAACGTTCGTCGACTTTATTGCACCGAAAGCGACCGATTCGTGCCGTAAAGGAACTCTTCCCTTTGGATCAAAGGGAGCGAACGTAAACTCTGCAAAGTGGCAAAGAAAGAGGGAAAAAAGGAGAGAGAGAGAGAGAGAGAGAGAGAGAAGAGCGATTAAAAATTCATTCGGCTAGATGTAACGAACAAGAACTCCGTTTTAAGTGGCAAGTCGGGGGTCTAGTTACCTGGATGAATTTTTGAACGGTCACTTTCGTCCCGCCTTTGTCCGACGTTCACGCTTTATACTCATATTGTGTTCTCCTTGTTGCAGAGTCACGACAGCTGGCAAGGACACGACGGCGACCAGGTGAGCATTCGCAGCTTACGTTTGCCGACACTGCTTTGCTTTCGCTCTAAGCATGCCGCTTTGTTCTTTCGACTTTCCTGACGTCACGCGCTTTAATTATAGCGCCGGTCTCGCCGTGGGTGCGATCCGAGGATTGCACCGCCACGATCTCGGCCTTGGCCAACCACCCCTGTTAACCCCTTGACTGTGTCCACCAAATGTTAACCCTTCGGTTATGGCAGTATTTGATGCGCGACGTGCACGCAGCATGCGATAGCTCGATCGCGACCTGTGCTATGAGCGGCGTGTATTTTTTGGATTCGCGTTGAAATGGTCGAAACACTGAACCGTATTACACGCAGTGCTGGCTAATATTTATAGAGAAAACATTTGTAATATTATTTGAAATAATAGATTCTTCACGATTCAAGTGAAATAGCACATTTCGAATGGGGCATCAAATTCCGGGAAATGAAATAGTTTATTTTGATAATCGACAGCTGAAACATGAAATGAAATATTTTATTTTGATTATGTCAAATGAAATAGTTGATTTGTGTAATCCCTAAAGCTGAAGCATGAAAATAAATATCTTATTTTGATAACCTGAACTATGAAATCAAATGTTTTTTATTTTAATAGCGGAAGCATAAAATAGACTACTTCCATAATTCTTAACCTGAAAATGATGAATTTAACGTAAAATGAGACAACATACGAAATCATAATAATTTGCAAATGATATTATCTTCAGAAGTATTCATCGATGAATTACACTGAATGTATGTTTATAATGCAAAGAAAAAATGCTTTATTCGCTTCGAATCATTAAAATAATTAGATTTTACACCATTAATGAAATATTCCGAACTATGGCACAAATATTTTCAGTGTTTTACAAATAAAATACTATTTGAAATATAGTATAAATAGAGTATCATAGTATTTGAAGTATTATCTTAAACATTTCTTTCAACAAATAAGTTCTTTCATTTTTCAAAATACATTCTCGCGAACAAATAAAATATTTGATTTTCTAAAATACGTGCATAATCTAAAATAAAATATCTATTTACCATTTGCCATTTAAAATACTATGTTAGCCAGCTCTGATTACATCCGGTCATTAATAGTAATAATAATAATAATAATAATAATAATAATAATAATAATAATAATAATAATAATAATAAAATTAAATTTGCCGGTCGCTTATGTGCGCCAAAACTTTGCTCAACCCGACAGTACACACGTGGACATCAGAAACAAAAGTATCTACGTGTACTGCCGAGCTTTTGCTGCGCGCAGATATAGTCCCAACACGTAAAAAAATCGCCCCAAATATACAAGTGATTCGCAGGTAAGGGGTTGACAGTGTCCTATTCGCACGTTACTTTAAACAGCTTCACGTAGACTTTTCTCTCTTCTGTTATTTGTTGCCCGATGGGTAGTCAACCATCTTTTTTACAATCTCAGTGATGTTCGTCGGTAGACTTTTTTGTCGCTCACAGACTAGCTGACCTCATCCCACAGCACACCCAACTTTGTTTTTACACGGTTCTGTTTTGCCACGGTTTTCGTTTAACGTGACCTTCGATTTGACACGGTTAAAAAAAGAAAAGGTTATCCGATTTATAAATTTCAAGAACAATTATTTCCACAAATCGTAATTTTCTACGTAATTTCTATATGAGCCGTTTATTTTGAAAGCGGCACAGGTCACTTTACCGTAATGAAAAGTGGTGATTTTTTAATGTTTATACGAAATTATTTATCCTGAGAAAAATATCAGTATCCTGAGATAACAAATACAAGTAAATCTCGAAAGTTAGCATCCATATTTGTAAACGTGTTAAAACGCAAACCCTTAAATCTATCGACTTAAGAACAAAGTGACTTATGCCACTTTCAAAATAAATGGCTCATATACCTTTCTTCGCCGGTATTTCCTGGAATCTGTCCACTTTGTAAAAACAGAATTGGGTGTTCCCTTGTCACGCTGAAATTCTTGCTGAGAGAACAACTGGCTAACACGACGGTGCACACGCGGTGCATCGAACAGCGTTCGCGATCGACGTTCGTGCACAAACCCGATACGCCGAAACGATCAATTAAATAACGGTGGCCCCGCCGATGGGTTTAAGCCCAGTCATCGTCTTCCGCGGTCCGGAGACCGGCGCGCGAACGTGTTCGAGAGGGGATCCGAGAATGCGGGAATGCATTTTCGACGAAGGAAATCGTTCGCACTATATCACGCGACGTTCTCGCCGGTATTGGCACGGGTTAGCCTAGGAACGATGAAACGGTAGGAACGCGGGCCACGGTGGTGACGAAAGAGTGTGCCGGGGAGCAAAAGCAATTTGCGTGACAGTGATGCATGCGACTCGAGTTCTTACCATCTGGTTATGCGGTTACAACGAGCACGGTACCTCATCGTTATTAAGGGCGCTGCGGTTTAATGATGCGATCGCTGGAACGACCGGCGCATCAAGGTCCCACCGTTTCTCGTTAACTACGAGCGATTAGTCGGCGCTGCACTAACGCCTGCGAAAATATTTACCAGATCGCGGAATCCGCCCTCCCTCCCCCCCTCTAAATGCTCCTTACGCATTAATCGATAAGCGCACTGGTGCTCCCGGTGTTCGCTCAAGCACTTATTATGCATCTCTATTTTCATCCGGTCATGGAATCTTCGACGGGAACGGACGAGCTCGTCGCTGACGCTGTTCGATTCGCACGAAGTTTCGCACGATCTTGCCCCAACGTCTGTACTCCGTCGACGCTAGAACTATCGACGTTTTATACGTACTTTTACCGGAGGGGTCGAAATGACTTGCTTTTTGAATTGACAAATCATTTAAGAAAACAGACATACAGCATTTCCATGCGACTATTTTATATATTTGCCGAATTAATTGAGCGAAGATCGATTATAAACTGAATAATAATAATAATAATAATAGTAATAATAATAATATTAATATTAAAAATTAAGGAAAACTCGAACTCTTTCTTTTACTATTTTCTCTGGTTGTGCGATGATGGACATTTACTTTTCGCTGTCTCTACTAGGATCGCTCGCATCGTAGCCGGTATCGGAACAATTTCTCGTCCCAAATTATCTAGTTCCTCCAGTAATTTATTCCTTCGTGAATTCATTCCCATAGATTCTAACTAATCTTATGTGACTATTTCTGCAAATCACGATAAAAAGTAGATTTTGAGATTTTCCAGAAGCGTCACGGGACAAAATGAAGTTTCCCTCGTAAACGTTTCTCTCTGACCGAAATCGCGAATTGTTTTCTGCGATGCGAGAGCATCGAAGAACATCGATATATATGTATATACATATATACATGCGTCACATGTTTTTATAGACAAGCGAAGATACTGTTACCGCCGAGTAACAATATGAAGAAAGTCAAATAAGGAATGAAAATGTCGAGCAAACGTAACACATGTATGTTGCGGCAATTTCTCTACAACGTGTATCCACGAAAATGTGTTCGAACTATACGAGACTGGTACGAGAAACTTCTGAAATTACATGTTTACCTACGTTCCGTGGGGGTCAATATGGATCATCTCGGTGTAGATCCCTCCCGTGCTGTCCGGTTGCTCTTGAGTCTCGGCCTCGGCCTCGGCCTCGGCTTCTCGATTCATCTTCTGGACTTTTTGCACCACTTCCCGGTAGCCGACCTCCTCGGCGGTCGTAGAACGCCCCCGTAAGCGCATCCGCGCCCTTATCTGGGCCTCGTCCACAGTTTGCGGCGCTTCCGGCGACAAGGCCTCGGGACCTGCCGTCCCTAAGCCTACGGCTAAGCAACGTTCGAAAATCTCGTCAAAACTGCTACGACTATCGTTGTCGAAAAATTCCCCCATATTGCTGCGTCGACAACTCGTCCGTAACTGATCGCAGCCTGCCAAAATTTCTGTTCGAAAGGGCATCGGGCCGCGGTCACCCAAACATTTTCCAAAAGCTATGTTATCATAACATAGCTCGTGTGCTGGACGAGAGCGCCGAAGCTTGAACAGAGATAGCCTTGATTTCGGTTAGTCGGCCGTTAACGCGAAATAAACATGACCTCGATTCAAATGAAAGGAGAAAGAAAGAAAAGAAATTCATCCTTCTAATTATTATCGAAGTAAATTGAACAGCTGCTTAACCAATTAGCTATGTTTGACGAGTATACACGTTGTGCGTAAAAAGTAGCGACCATTGGCTATTTAAATTGTAATTTTAGTGGAAACGAAAATATATTCTGAAATTTCAAGATGTTTAGAATATTTTGAGGCCAGGCCAGAATGAGACAAACAAATAAAAGATACGAATAATTATATGAATGATATGATGATATTGATGTTCGACGTGTAAAGTGCCATTATGCATCGTTCCTTGATTTGCTGAATGTGTTACCACTCTACAGCAGGGATTTGAATTTTCAACTTTTATAAGTACTTGATTTTTCCCCTGCGTTTTTCGTTTATTATGTATGCAGTATATATGTTAAGTGGATAAGTAGATATTAGTAATGAAATTGTTAATTTTATAAAATGAAACTGTCTCGTTGCTCCAATATTTTAACGGCGACACTTGTTCTGTGTTTGGCGAGTATGCTCGTCACCAACTGGTTAATTTACGCAGTGAAAAGAAAAAGAGAAGAAAGAGGAATTTTCCTGGACTGATTTAATAATCTATAAACTGGAACGAGTTTTATAGCTAATCGCTGTATCAAGAAAGAACAAGAAAATGTAGAAAACTGCTTTACATAATAAATTAGAATTATTTATATATCTCAGAAAAAATCATACAAAACTAACCGCGGTATCAAGAAAGAACAAGAAAATACAGAAAACTGCTTTACATAATAAATTAAAATTATTTATATATCTCAGAAAAAAATCAAGTCGTAGGAGTCGGCAGATTTCTGACGTGTTTTTGTGTTCATAAGGACCAGGAAAGAATGTATTGTCAGTCAGCCGGTATAGTTTAATTGTTTAAAGCAGTCGCCCGACAAGCGAAAGATCCAAATTCAAATCCCGGTAACCGATCTATCCGATCGGGTCGACTCATTTTCCCTACACGGTATTATTGAAGTAACGATGTTTGGGGAAGTTGATAAACAGGTAGACAATGTCTTGATGATTGTGTCCTCGAACGATATTTATGAACTTCCTTTGCCACAGTTATCTTTTATCCAGCGCGAACTGATCGGTGTTCATCGACTTCTCTAAACACGATTATTTTATTAACACTAGATTTACGGAGCACGAAATACAGCTGTTTTATATTAGTTTTTTAAAAGTAACAATAAGACGTTTATTCTGATTTTTAACAAGTGTTATTGTAACGTTTGCCGTAAGTAACATATAAATGGAATAAATAACTCATAAATATATCTTTACGATATGAATAATCGTAAATTAAAAAATTAGTGACCGTAATTTTGACGCGTCCCGTAAATCTAGTGTTAATACCGTGTGGGAGTCGCTTATTGGGCGAATCAATGCTTTAATCAATTAAGCTATCCAGGTCGACCGACAACATTTCTATATTTCTTTATTTTGTTTATTGTTGCATAAAAATTGTAATATGTCCTAGTCGATAAATACAAAGTCAATTATCTCCGAAAACAAAGCAACGGCACAGTAATTGGTCAACCCACGGTGACCGGCTCCACTATACCCTAGTACGAATTTCTATAAAATTAAAATACAATAGTCGAAACCCGTATCACCATGGAATTCTTCAGTGAAATCATAGATAGTTCAGGTGACGAGTTGAATGCCCAGTAGCGACCCGATCGTGAATAACGTTCGATCGCGATTGTCTCCGGCCGATAATAAATCTCGGATCGTATAATTTGCTCCGGGAGTCGACTGTTTAACGGCGGTGCCCGTAAAATATGGTGGAACAGGCGAAAATACAGGAACGTTTCCGCGGGAGAGAACATCGCTTGGCAATTCAGGCCGGTCGCGGAGCGCTTTTTACGAGGAAAGAAAGACGGTGAAGGCACTTAACAATGAAGGCTGGTTGAATGAGATTTAGTGTACCGTCTAATCGGGTTTACTCTCGCCTTAGGGCTCTGTCCCACGCTGATACGCCAATACAGGCCCGGCCTGCGGGAGTGGAAGAGGCTCGATGGGTTGGGCGAATAGCAAGATGAAGGAAACGGTGGAAAACTGCGGGGCCAAGTGGTTAGGGGACGCGCGCCGTGAATTTAAAAAGATTCGTTAAACCTTGATACCGCTGTAGACTCCCCATCCGCGGGACTCTTTGTTAAGAAGTTCGACTGCCACCCCCGATGTTCGTAATGTCCCGCGGAGATTTATCCCGGTAAGGAGATTTGCCGAGCGTGTCGGCACACAGCGATCCGGATCGGATAATCGGGCGCCGTTCGGCTAAAAAATCAACTTCCCGGTACATCCACTTATGCTGAACGAATCCTAAATGTTCGTACTGAACGCTTTCTGAATAACCGTAAGTGGACGGCGGATCTTGTGCAATTATGACAAAAATGTGTAGATCCGATGCAAAACGGTAAAAACATTTAAAGAATTTTATCACTATTTGTTTACCGAATTAATTTTGCGATGGCTATAGGCAAAGTCGAGAAGTAAATTACAGTAAATTCTCCCTAATTGATGGTCAGATTTTATATAAAAATGGACAATTTGGGAAGAGGAAACACGATTATTCGAGCCTCGCTGCTCATTTTTATAGTTGTCGATTGTCAACAATTATGGAAACGAGGTGCAAGGCTTAAATAATCGTGTCTCTTCTTCCCAAATTGTCCATTTTTGTGTACTGAGCGTCAATTAGGGAGAATTCACTGTACATGGAATGCATGGGAAATAATTTTTATTCAGAATTATTAAAAGATATTCTTCAACCCCTTTTGGTAAAATACTGTTAAATAGAAATTATTGAACGGTGTCTTTTGATCTTTTTGGTGTAAATAGCGTTAAAGCATTGTTCTTTTAACCCTTTGCACTCGAAGCCATTTTATCTCGACATTAAAAATAGTTTTTCTTACCTATATTCCATTTGATATAACCTACTGCATTTTATGCATTTTACGACATTGAATTTTGTGATTCAAGCAACAATTACACTTCGCACAGTTTTTTAAATATAAACAAATTCGTTAATAGCTCGTAAACAAAGCCATGGATTGCATTTTCGCTAAGGAAAAAGTTACTTCAAATCACCTCAGGAACCATCCATTTCCGGATTGCGAGACATTTTTGGGATATCCTGCATGCAAGAGTTATCATCCATAATTCTTCTTTAAAATAAAGCCGTAATTACATTGAAAGGTATCCAAAAATGATTCATCTAATAACTCGGTTACCAATAATGCCAATATCTGTCACGGTTTAAAAATTACAGATAAATGGTACACGATTTTCCAATCCGGACCATTGTAGCTGCTGATCAGCTCGAACATTCGACTCGTTCGTCACTGTGACGTTAACGATCGTCGAGGACGTGTTATCTCATCCGTAGATTTTCTGAAACGAGGATCCGAGGCTGATCGAATCAAGGCTCCGCGACTCGTCGCGAGGATATCCTCGCCGCGAATTTCGATATCGGAAATCTTCATATCGTTCGCGAGCATCTCGAAGAATCGAGTTTCGGTCGATGGTTCTTGCCGTAGACTCTCGAGCGTGCCGCGCACCGTCCCCTCAATAGAGTCCTCCCTGGAGAGGATACGTTTCATCTTCCATCTTCTTGTTTCGAATATCCACAATACGTCGCCCACTGCGACGCTCTCCCGCCGCTTTTTGTTCCCTTTGTAACGATACGAAGCAGATCACTCTACCGCCGGGCCTTTGTTCCGCGGCGAACAATTTCGCGCCGCGGCTCTCGCTACCCGTGAAAACTCTCTTCAACCAAATCCTACGTGTGTCTTCTTTCTTTTTTTCGTCGCACGGCGCGCACGTCTTCTTGACGAAAAACTGATTTCGGTAAATGCAGGGTCTTTGACATAGACGAGTATGTATTTCCCGGCGGAACAAATTGTACCGAGCCTGCGTATATTAACCTTTGCACTCGAGTGGCGACTCTGAGGACTCATTTTCATACGCATAAAATTCGCTAAGTTGGATGAAACGAAAGTACCGCATGTAAGAAAAACAAATTTGGATTTAGTGTTGAAATGTCGTCGAGGTTTAACCTTTTAGGCACGACGCGTCACTATAGTGGCTTTCGCGGATGTCATCTTTCAGAACGACACGCCACTATAGTGGCTTTCGCGGATGTCATTTCTCTGAACGACGCGCCACTATAGTGGCTTGCTCTAGTAGCTCACTCGCTCATCGTTTGAACCAAATAATCGTCTTCATATGCATTGTTCCACACTTCTTTTGTCTTCACATCGATTTACAACAGTCTACAGGGTGTCCCAAAAATGTCTCGCAATCCGGAAATGGCGGGTTCTTCGGATCATTTGAAGCAACTTCTTCCTTTACAAAAATGTTCTCCGAGGCACCGTTAACGAGTTATTAACGAAAAACAGTGACCAATAAGAATCGAGTACGGCTGACACGAGGCGGCCCAGCCAACCAGCGCGCGAAGCCCAGTTCCGCTCATTGGCTCGATCGCCTCGCGCCAGCTGAGCTCGTCTCTCATTGGTTACTGTTTTTCGTTAATAACTCGTTAACGGTGTCTCGGAGAAAATTTTTGTAAAGGAAAAAGTTGCTTCAAATGGCCTGAGGAACCCGCCACTTTCGGATTGCGAGACATTTTTGGGACACCCTGTATATACAGACAGGATATACAGTATCGGACTCTGTACAGTACATATCAGACTCTGCCGTCCAGAGAAATAGCCTCGCGCAGAATTCAGCCATACCTAAAAGATTAAGAAATAACAAAGTTTCGGCTCGTGCCTATTCAAGATGGTGCGAATAAATTAGCCATAGTTGTCGTAACAGGTAGAATTACGTTGCAGCGGTAGTGCCGATGCAACGTAAAAATCGTGTTCCGGAAACACAAATAGAAAGGGCGAATCCCTTTTTTGCACATTTTCAGAGTTTTTAAGCTCTCGGTGCTGCAGCTGCGCCCACGTTCTGGAGAGCACTTTATGAATTTTGATGCATTATAGCGTCGGCGAACGGCAAAACGTGAAAACAAAATCGCGCACCGGAGTATTCCGATTGCGCGAGCTCTTTTTCTG